ACCAGTGGCACCACAGCGCGGGCAGGTTTTGTAGGAATTTTGAGCTCAGGAAAAACCCAACAGCGAGGTCCAAAGCTCACCAGAAACACTCTCAGACCCACCTGCCCATGGCCCCAAGCCCAGCACAACTCTTCAGTCCACACACAAGTTCTGTAGCCTCCATGGGTTACCAGGACTCCCCAGGATCCATCAGCATGGAACAGAGACCCTTGTCCATGGCTGGAAGTGCTGGTTGGTGATTAGTAAAGTCCTGCCTGGGGTTTGCAGCATTTGGGGCAGAGCCCTTTACCCAGGGCTGACGTGGGACTGCGGGTGCTGAACGCAGATAAGCCTTCACCAACGTGCCTCGACTGCTGGGTCAGGACCACGGGGATGAGCCATGGAATGTGAAGGTGTGACCCTCGGGAGGGCAGGAGACCATGGAGAGTGCTGTGGGTGCAGGAGGAGAACCTCTCCCACACCCAAACAAACTTTACACTGGGCGGTTTGCCTTACGCGTGCTCCAGCTCTGCAGCCACTTGGAGCAGGAGCAGGGCATGGCAGGAGCTCACACAGTGCTGGGAATGGCTTGTAACTTCCATGGGTATCCAGGGAAGCAGGAGGTGGTGAGACACAGTCCCTGTGCCTGACTTTCACCCACAGAGCCCAAATCAAAGAACTCCACAGAATTGCTCTTTCCCTTCAATTAAAAAGCTCTACCAGGGCATCCTCAGTGTGTTTTATTTCCATGATCAGGTACTGGACTATTTGTCCAGCTGAAATTTTCCCGCAGGAGTCCCTCACCCTTCCCAAGAGGTGTTTCACCTCTGCTCAGAGGTGGGAGACCTTGGAGCCCCTTCCAGTGCCTAAAAAGGCCCCAAGAGAGCTGGAGAGGGACTATGGACAAGGTCATGGAGGGACAGGATAGGGGAGAATGGCTTCAAACTGACAGAGGGCAGGATTAGACGGGACATTGGGGAGAAACTGTTCCCAGTAGGGATGGTGAGGCCCCTGCACAAGTTGCTCAACCCCGGGAGTGTCCGAGGGCAGGCGGAGCCCGCTCGGGAGCTCATGGCGGCCTGAGGGGGACGCCCCGCCCACCCCGCGCTCTGCACGAGGCGAGCACCGAATCAGAGCAGCGCTGGGGGGTGACGAGCACCAATGAGCGCTGAGGGGGCGGGGCGCCTTGGCCACACCCTATTGATCCACGGCCCCGCCCACACACCGATCCCCGCCTGTTTTAGTCTTTGACACCGCCCACTCCAGCCTAGGCCACGCCCCTTCTAGCGCAATGTCCTCATCCTTGGCCACGCCCACCGTGCCCAGGCCCCGCCCCTCGGGTGTCCCGGGTCTGTTCCCGGGGGTCCGGGGGGTCCCGGAGCGTCCCGGGATTGGAGCCCACCCCACCCTGGATCTGGATCCAGCTTTGCGGCTGTTTGAGAGCTGTTGATCAGCGCAGTCAGGAATCAGTGTGTGTGTGCGCGGCTGACCCTTTGCTTTGAGGAAAAGGGAGGGCCGTCCCAAGAGGAACACAGACCCCGGCTCCAGCGGAGGGATGAGCTGCTCCTGCCGCTGGTCCGCTCGGGAAGGGAGGGATACACCCGGGAAACAGGGCGTTGCGTGCTTATTATAAAAAGCAAAAAAATCAATAAAATTATGTCATCGGTAACTAGCGAAGGGTGATGCTCCTTGTTTGTTCAAATGTATAAAATAACGCCAAGTTTGGATGAGCCGGGAGCCTTTCGTGGGAACCTCCCTGCTCCCTTCATTTTGGCGAACTGGGATAAAAAAATAGCACCTCCTCGGGTCGGGGTGGGAATTGGGATGAGCCCCCAGGATGTCCCGCCCGTGTCCCCGTGTGCCAACCCCGTCCCGCCCGCCCGGCAGCCGAGGGGCAGCAGGACACGGGGCTGGGGACAGGAGGGTCCCAGAGCTCCCAGGAATTGCCCGGGCTCCGGAGGCTTCACGTTGGAAACGACGAAAAGCACGGTTTTAAATGTGGCATCTCTTTGTTTTCCCCCAAAACACGCCTCATCCAAGGGGCGGAGGATGGGGAAAGCAGTGCGCCTCCAGCCCCTCACCGCACATTTCCAACAGTGAGGAGCTGTTGCCATCGCCAGGATCTGGGAAAAACAGCAGCGCGTTTGGACAGTGAGGAGAGGAGACACCCACGCACCAGAGCTCAGCACAAGCCCCGGCCCCCAGCTGGCCGTATAGTCTGAACATCCAGGGAAGCGATGATCCCGAGGAGCACAGCAGCTCCTGGAGACGGTGTCAGCTCTCTCCTGCTGCCCTGAGGAGCTGCAGTCGGGGACAGCCCAGGATGGATCTCTGGGGGGTCCTGCATGGGAACTTCAGCCCCTGAGGTGGTACAGGCAGCTGAGATCCCTCTGCACCCCCAGAACACGGTGGTCAAGGTCAGGGCAGAGCCAAGGGAAGGGCAGGGGGACCTTACCATGACCTGTTGAGCTCTGCAAGAGCCAAATGCTGAGATGCAGCCGGTGTGTTGCCCACCAACCTTTACCAAGTCCAGGACACATGCAGAGCCCTGGGCTGATGCTGCCTGTGTATCCCTTTGGCTTTCAATCCACAGGGTTGCTGGAGAGGCTGTAGGGGATCCATTCCCAGGGTACAGGGGTAGAAGTTGCCCAGGGGAAGTGTCCTGGAGAGCACAAGCAGGGGAGCTGCTCGAGTCAGGTATGGGGA